TTTAGCTAGTACACGTTTTTGAAATTCACATTGACCTATATAAGCTATAATATACAAGCTATCGCACACATTAGGGATACCACTGAAATAACTATACAATAATATCGTGTGAAACGAACTTTAAAAGTTGTTATATTTTATTGTTTCTGACTTTTATATTATACAATAATGCATTCAGTCATTATTACGGGCAACTTTCAGTCTATCAAACACGTTTCTTCTGCTTCGATGTTATCAGTTATCGCACAAGCTGTGGAAAAAGTACGTTTTATACTTTTATGGAATCGCTTAATAACGTATTGTTTTAAACGACCCACGATCACAGTAGGACGTATAATGATGTCACATAATTTTTATAACAATTAACATTGTTTGTTCTTCGTAATGTTTTGAACAGTGAATTCTAATAATATTTATTTTCGAATCGTGATTAATACCGGGTGTGATTCGTCCGAGGTGCGAACAATAATTTCGATAGTGTTGTGGTGCATCGCCCTATACGTTTTCGACACTTTTATCGCAACTCGCAATAGAAATATTATGTCGGTCGTCACAGTGCGTCGACGTCGTTTGACGTTTTCAATACCTACAGCCCAATAACATTATCAGCAGTTGTACAGTCGTATTCCCGTTTAAAAGCTGCAGTAATCGCGCAGAATTATAAGTACTATATATTATACCTATTCGATTTTTGATTGGACACAGTCGATTTGATGTGAGTAATGTAATATTGTTATGTGCAAAGAGAGGAGAACGATTCGTCTGACCCAAATCGTCAGCGCGTCGCAAGACAATAATATTATTATAATAGTCGGTATACATTGGGTAATTTATATTCGATCGATACGCGCATTCTGGTGTGCGCGCGCGCGTTCACGGTTTCATTTAATTTAAACAAACTGGTATTATTTTTTTATTTATTTCGTTTTCGTTTTCGTTTTTTTTTTTCTAACGTGTCTGCATTTGTTTTACATTTATTCGCTTTTCGTGTACACATATATAAATACACGTACTCTGCTGCTGCTGCTGCTGATTCGTATTGTACCTATATATAGGTACACAATATTGTGTTATAATATTATAACCTATAAACACGTATGTGGTTACACGCATTTTCTCATTCCATCCACTAGTCATTACACCTATACTCCCTCGTCCCTCACCACTATCGGATCAGTTTGATATAATTATATTTTGTTGATCGCTTCAATATAATATTGCACAATACCGCACAATTATTACCCGACTGCAGAGTATTATTGTACTGTCTGGTTTTCGTAAATCTTCTTGTTTTCACGGCTATGGATATTTTTATTTTTTATTTTTTTTWAATACAATTTAGCATATTCTAATCTTTTGACGCGTAGTGCGCATTTTAATATTAAATATGGACAATATGATAAATTTGCGACTAATACAATACAAGGGATTGCATGTTATGCATCAAATTGTTACGTATAGGTGAGCACCCACATGTGTTGTCTCAGTCTTAAGTCAGACAATAAGGCAATTTTACGTTAACAAAAATCCACTTTACTCAGTTAATTTTAGAACTTAAGTCAGACATGACCTAGCTATTATAACATTTAAATGCAAGATTATCAACTCGGTGGTTTTTTTACTGAATTAGTTTTGCAAGTAACGATTTTTTAAAACTATTACTAACAATTTATAGCTTTAAAATGCTCATCGTAATTTAAATATCAATGAAAGCATCAGCGGATGCCTTAGATCTTACTTTTATATTTTATAACACGCCTAACAGGTCTTCGTGCCATTTTTTCCCCAATAAAATTGTATTGAAAATGCAGGCGCTATAATAATAGTACACATATAAAATTTAAATGACTAACGGCTATTGCAGGTCTATCGACCCTGAAAATGACCAATCGCAACTGGTCTATCGACCTTAAAATATGTTCGAAGTACAATAAACTGGCTATTTTTTGTTTCCTGCAGTCGCAAACTCAACTGGTGTACTTTTCGTTTATATAATCAAACGCAAATTGTAAATTATTTTTTTTTTTTACTGTTCAGGTGTGAGACTCGATTAGCATAAACCACGATAGCGTCATAATATAATATCAGAACAATACGCAGCAACCTGTCTAATAACAATATTATATTATTAGTTATTAATTTCATATATATTCTAATTATAAAATCCGTTTGAAATGTATCTATGCTGGTCTTTGAAATTTACCACGACAAATATGGTGATGAGGGAAGGTTTATGTTTCTATATATCAAGTTCTTATGTAATATACAATAAAGCGATGTGATATGAACGTTTGGAAGGAATTTTCATCCAAAACGCTCACCATGTAATAAAAAAATACCTTACGTACAGTGATCATATTATTGTAATACATATCGATAATAATTATTAAAATATAAATTACAATCGTATAACTTATAATATAATATCTATCATCAATACGGATCGAGTAATCCATAGATGGAAATAGTGAGATAACCGGGACACTAGCACACTCTAACTTGTTGTATCCCACCTTAAAAAATATATATACATATATATACCGAGTGTTCAACAATTTAGGAAACACTGAATTTCTCGACCGGATTATATTGAAATAAATCAAATTTTTTTTACAAGCTATAGTGGTGTATAAATACACAGATAAATCTGTAATTAAATTTCAGATAAATTTCAAATTTTTAACCCTCTCGGTATGCGCATACTACGCAACGCAACTTATTATTTTTAAATAGCGACCTGTATTTTTGATACCAAATTCGGATAGACTGAATTTTTATAAGTAGTTTTGACCAATTAACCATGGCTCTAAAACCAAAATTGACTGAATGAGAGCCATTCAAATTTTAATAAATAATACATTTTTAAAATTCATTATAAAATGCATAAAACTATTTATAATTATTTATTATTGGTTACTTTTTGAATATTTTTACGTTTTTTTTTTTTTTTTTATATACGTGTTATAAATAAGATTAACATAATATAGATATAAAATTATTTAATTAAAATTGATTACAACTGTATACGTAAAAATATTCAAAGAGTAACCAATAATAAATAATTATAAATGGTTTTATACCCCTAGCTTGTAAATAAAAATTCGATTTATTCCAACTTAATCCGGTCGAGAAATTCATGTTCCCTAAATTGATGAACACACGGTATATACATTATTTGCAGCGCCTATGCAGGAGTAATATCTGTTTTAGTATTCCAACCGATTGCACTAAATTTTTATAAGACAATTTTTTGTGTATATTAAATGATGTATGTACATTATAATATATAAGCACCTATATACATCATATACGGATAATAAGTCTTTAACATATCATATAGAACAATATTTTTACCCTTGATTTATTTTAGGTGTTTTATACAGCTTAATTCCAGAAACTATTTATTTGACGCTAAACAATTAACTTTTGATAAGCAAAAATATTTCAAGTAAGAATTTAATTTAACTGCAGCATGGCTTTTAAGAAGTCGAATACCTAATGGATCCAAAATTTTTGTAGTATATCTACTAGGGTGTTCCTTAACTATATAGGTATATATGATGAAAAAAAAATATCCTAATATTTCTGGTCTCACCCCCTAAATGTGTGCGTATATGTATAAAAAATAACTTCAAAAAATTTGAAACCAATCGGTTAAGGTTAACCCGTGCCGATTTATAATTTAAGTTTGAACTCCATAAATTTTTCAATATTTTCCACATTTCCATAAATATTTCGTTAACCTTGAGAAATATCGACATTCTWTATATTATATATTTTGAAGTAAATTTGCCTATAATTTTTATAATTATAATATGATATTTTTTAATATCTCCAATGGTTCGTGAAGTATATTGACTTGACTGTAAGAAAACACAATTATTAAAGTATTTTTTCATACTTATTAATTATTATAGTGCAGGCTAAAATAATTTTACAAAATTCCAAAATTCCCGTATGAAATTTTCCATCAACTAATTTGATATATATTTGCCTTCATTTTATCACTGGCAACATAATAATCACAATACAAATTTAATGTCCACAATAATAATATAGGGGGCCGAGGTGGCCGAGTGGTCTACCTCGTCGGCTGTGGCTCAGCCGGACCGGGTTCGATCCTCGACCATCGGGCGGCATTTTTCTCCGGGCAAGTCACGGTGTCCGGAGAACAAGTGCCGCCATCCCCCACTCCGGGGCATGGCAGAAACCTACTGGTGCCCCAATATAAATTCTGCCAAAAACTCTCACCCACATGTAAAACCAACTTTCAGTTCCATAACAACCTACAGTACTACCTACTTCCCAATGGCCTTAGTTGCCGCGGGATAATTAAAAAAAAAATACTTGTGGTATTAAACCGAAGAAACTGCTGCATTATCTTTCTTTGATGATTCTATACCAGTAGGTTTACCACTATTATAGAAGTAAAGCGTCAGATGGTAAAAGCCTTAAGAAAAAAAGCGATAAAATATCCGGCCAAATGGTTGACAATTAAACCAAACCAAATAGATGATAAATTGATTGATAAGTAAATAAAGTAGATATTATCTACACTTACTCCATTATTTATTTCGTCATTCAAACTGTTAATTTTTGTTGCTAAATAAATGAAAAAAAAAACAATTTGTTATATAACAATATAATATCTGCGCGTTTCTCACGGTGATTAATTTTTTCTATTAAATATTAATCTATTTACTTGAGCTACCATMGTGAGATAATTTATTACTTTTTTGACTCGTGTCCATCCAATTATTCTATATTGATCTGAATACAATCTACATAGCGGTTGCCAAATCGTTCATTCGCGGAGGACCACCATGGCGCTGCAGACTGCTGAAGCTTCTACGAAGACTGAGGAATTTCACGAAAAACTTAAGGCTGACGCGGAAAATGTTGTTTTGCAAACATTTCCTGAACGAATAATACATTTTTATGAATTGCTCAACACGCCCGAAAATCGTATACGTCAAATTTTATAAACTACAAATTTGAAGTGCCCGGAACTGCAATCGCCGAATCAGAAAACAGTACAATTAGTTGCGCCGATGAGGGAGAAACTCCACTTGCAGACACGATTCCAGCACCACGACTAATGCTCGTGCCGTCCAATAAAAATGTGACTGAAATCGTCGAAATCTTTAAACCCAGCATCATGCAATTAGTCCGAGACAACCGTTCGATAAGAATTTGGATAACGTTATCGATACCGAAAATTGAAGACGGAAACAGTTTCGGAGTATCCGTCCAAAAAAACATTCTTGATTTGCTGCAGCAGGTCGAGTCGTCGGCTGTCATGTATTACAATAAGGTGAATAGCTACTACGAGAGTCGTGGAAGACTTGTCGCCAAGGTGGTGAAGTATCCGTTTATTGAAGACTGTCGGATAGCCGTCGAAGAATTGGACGAAAAACAATACACAGAAATAACCTTATGCATTTACGAAATTTATTTTTACTATACTTTGTTGTGTGATGTTATCGTCAAGAATTTTGAATACATAAAAAATCCACAGTCCTCAAACTGCAGTGGCAGTATGTATTGAGCACAGAAGAACCCAACACGGAATTTTGAGTTAAAATTTCAATACCTAACTTTGAAATATTTAGACTTACGTTAAAAAATGAAAATATATAATTTATATACCTACTTATGTATTTTATATTTGTTGACGTTTTTAGAATACAACATTAGCTGTTAAACTACAGTTAGCTGTCTAAAATGCCTAATAAAAAAAACTTAGTTATTTTAGTGTAAAAAAACTACACTAACTGAAAACATGTAGGTAATTACGTCTTATAATTAAGTGTTAGGTACTTGGAGCTGCATGCAATTTTCCAATAAACTACAAATATTTTCGATACTGAAAATGTGTGAGCACGGTAGTAATAATAGTGTTCAAATGGATCGCTCCGTATATAGGTACGTATAATATTGTATCCTGCGAGCGGCGGTGTTGTATTCCATCAACTCACAAACGATAACGAATTCATTTAAAAAAAACGTGATTTGCGATTGGTCCAAATACGCGTTATAAAGGTTTTTTATTTAGTGATACGTATCTATAGAATATGTATAATAATGTGCACTAGACAGCCCGAGTATGGTTTACAAAACACAATTATAATCACAATCATTGTTACGACACGCGAGATTGTGTCATCGCAAAATAYCGAAATTATCAGTCCGTAACACTAACCACCATACTCCGCGGCGGTACGTTGGTTTGTTATTTTAT